TTTTTTTTTTTTTTTTTTTTTTTTTGTTTTTAATTTCTGGTACTGGAGATTGAACTCAGGACCTTGCACTTGCTGGGCAGGTGCAGCACCACTGAGCTACACCCCAGCCCATTTTCCCCCTAGTACCAGAAATTTAACTCAGGACCTTGCACATGCCAGGCAGGCATGGCATCATTGAGCTACATATGCAGTTCTGTGCTTCTCTCTTCTACAGGCCAACACACAAATGAGCAGCAGCCCTGTCACCTCTCCTACTCAGTCTCCAGCACCCTCTCCTGTCACCAGCCTCAGCAACGTCTGCACAGGACTCAGTCCCTTGCCGGTCCTCACACAGTTCCCCCGGCCTGGGGGGTCAGCACAGGGTATGGAGTTAAATTAGGGTCTGATGTTGTGGAATTTGCCCTTCACATCCTATTACTAGTGGGGAGGCCAGAGATCAGCAGCAGAAAGGAAAGCAGTGTGGCTGGTGTAGTTCTGGAACCTAGCTCTTTAACATCCAAGGACACCTATACCTCTCTAGTGCTGCCCTTACTTAATCTAGCTGGACCTGAAGTACACACCTGAAATCCTAACTACTCAGGAGACAGGCAGAAGGATCACACATTTGAGTCCAGCCTGAACAATTTAGCAAGACCCTGTTGCAAAATTGGGGGGAGGGGTATAGCTAAATGTGAGGGCCCTGGATTCAACCCTCAATACAAGGGGGAAAATTACCTACTCTAGCCTTCCTTTACATACTTATTATTTACCTACAAAAAGAACTGGGGAAGCTGGGCAGGCTGGTACATGCCTGTAATCCCAGGATTCAGGAGGGTAAGGCATGAGAATCGCCACAATTTCAAGGCCAGCCTGGGATACTCAGTGAGTTCAGGGGCAGCCTGGACTACGTAACAAGATCCTATCTGAAAAACCAAACCAAAACAAAACAAAAACCTGGGGAAAGATGCTTTAAGGACTTTATAATTAACTAGATTTAGACAAACATCAGTACTGAGCTGCGTGCTGGGTATGTGCAGCTGTGTCAGAACAGTATGGTTTTAAAGGAGGAAATACTGGACTTGGATTAAAAGGTTTGGATACCAGTTTCAATTCCACCATGAACTAGCTTTATGATATTAAGCAAGTTGCTTAAACTTGGAACTACACCTTAGTTTTCTAATCTGTAAAGTGCAGTTAATTATGCATAAGATAGGAAGAGTCTTATCTGCTTTCTGCCTTGGGTGTCACAAGCAGTACAAAATAAGATTACAGTATGGTTTAAAAACTTTAAAGTGTTCTTATGTTGTTGTAATATTTTATCAATAATAGGTAACACTCATGGTGCTAATATGTACCGGGCAATACTATAAATGTTTTGCATGTCTTTTATCCATCCAACCTTTCAGCCACACCAAAGAGGGGAGAACATCCCAACATCACATTTCTAGCAACAAAGCCAGTATGTTAACACAAGCAGTCTGGCTCCAAGTCTGTGCTCCTGTCTACCACACTGTGTTGCCTCACGTGAATCACATGAACCCTGGGTTTGGGGGTAGAGAGACTATGAGATAGAAGACATTCATAAGGCTCTATAGGTTTCTTTCCTGGTCTATAGGGTCTTTTTGTCTACAATGGGCAGAACCCTTCTTCAACAGTGAGGGAGTCTTATAGCCCTATCTGTGAGATATAGCTGCAAGCAAAAGGCTTTAGGAAGAGAGACAACTCTTAAATCAGTCACATGGTCATGCCTATCACAGAAAAGGTAGAAATAGTATGCTATCAAATCTTGGTAATATCTGAGAGACATCTGAAATAAAAACTGAAATCTAACCATACCATGAAGCTCAAGCTCCCAGAAAACCATCTGCTCTTACTCCCTAGGTGATGGGCGCTACTCCCTCTTGGGCCAGCCATTACAGTACAATCTGTCCATCTGCCCTCCCTTGCTCCACGGCCAGTCGACATACACAGTGCACCAGGTAGGAATGTCCACCATCAGCCTTAGGACCATCAAGCCCCGCCCCTCCCATCTGGATCTCTATCCCTGAGCCACCTACTTAAGCTGCCTAGATGGACAAGGTAAACAACACAGGATGGACAAACCAGGGGGAGCTTTATCCCACTCCTGTACTCATTACTACCACCCAATCCAGTAGCAAGACAGAAGGGCTCTTTGTTTCTCACTGGCCAGTCTGGCTGCCTGGTGGGGTGAAGTCCTCAGGTTGGGTGCTGCTCAGTCTCTCAGGCAGACACTGGGACACAAGGGATTCAGTGTTGTTTACTTGGAGTAAAAGTTGCCTTTCAAATGTTGAAGGGACAAAGCGGATTGAAACATGGAAACCGGGCCAAGAGACAAGCACTCAAGTCTGCCTCTACTGACTTGGGGACAGCAGATGTTGGTGAGTGGCAGAATACTGAATCCCCATGAGAAGATGCTCAGCCCTTCAGCCCTTCATTCCCAGCCCAGGATAGATGGGAAAGCCAATTTAGAGAAAGGAATGGTAATGGAGCCTTTTGTGCTCAAGAATAAGGGGAAGCTGGAAAGTTGAAGTGTCTTAGTCCCCTTTACCAAGCATCCCAGGTCCTAAAGCAGATTACACTAATAATTGGGAGTAGCACCATAAGAGGAGTTGTTAAGACTTATTAACCAACAGTCTTCTGGGATCACTCCTGACTCTAATTTAGGACATTTGCCTTTGGGAGTGCTAGACCTGTGTAGGAGATTATAGAAAATTTGGGCAGGGCCAGGGTTTAGCTCAGTGGTTCTGCCGCCTGCCTCATAAGCACAAGAACCTGAGTTCGATGCCCAGTTCCAAAAAAAAAGAAAAGAAAAAGAAATTTGGGGCAGTAACTGTCTTCCTGCAGGGCTTCCATGCTAGGCATACAAGATGTCTTGGAATTCCTCTATTTGTACCAATTTGCTGAACAAGGAAAGGAAGGGAAACAGACAAGGTGATAGAAGGAAGAATGTGTTTGGTCCACTCTCTTCTTAAGAAGGAAACAGTGGAACATCCTTTAGATTAATCCAGACTTTTTATTAAAGACCATTAAGAAAAGCTACATTTCCTTCATCACAGTGACCCCTTGTGAGAGAACTAAGGTGTTGGTCCAGATCATAAACCTGGGACATGATTCCCAGTCCCTTCTTGCCTATATCTCTGGAATGAGAGAAGAGAAAGGTTCATTTTTTTCCCTCATTGCCCTTATTGGAATTTAGTTGACAAGGAATCTGATTGATTGGTGGAAGGGAGGAAAGGGCTAAGCAGGAAAAGTGGAGCTTCTGAGAACACTCTATACACACTTGGTCAGCTGGATAGCTCACAACCTCTCTCCTTCCCTTCCAGTCCTGGGGCGGGTGCTGGAGGTGACAGATCTCCCTGAGGGCATCACTCGTACTGAGGCGGACAAACTCTTCACTCAGCTCGCCATGTCCGGTGCCAAGATCCAGTGGCTCAAAGATGCTCAGGGGCTGCCTGGAGGGGGTGGTGGGGACAACAGTGGGACTGCTGAGAATGGCCGCCACTCGGACCTTGCTGCCTTGTACACCATTGTGGCTGTGTTCCCCAGCCCCCTGGCTGCCCAAAATGCCTCCCTTCGCCTCAACAACTCTGTGAGTCGCTTCAAACTTCGAGTGGCCAAAAAGAACTATGACCTGAGGATCCTGGAGCGAGCCAGCTCCCAATAAACAGAAGAGGGGAAGGGACTGGCTGGGGGTGATGGTGAAGGGGGCTGAGGTGAGAAGTAAGGAGATGGACACAAACTAAAGCCTAAGATGTTAGGAATGAAGAACCAGACCCTTGCTGGCATTGGACTCCTTCCACACTCCCCTGCCATGGGTACCCCATTCCTCCCTGGTTGACCCCCCCTCTGCTTCCCTCTCCTTCCCATCCTCTTCTGTCATTTTTTATCTTTTCTTCCCCCCTGAAATTAATTTTTTTTAAATTTTTGGTCAAGATTGAATTGGGAGGGTCCCATGCTCCCCTCTTCTCCTATTTCCTCACCTCCCTAAGCTCCCTTTCCTTTTTTAGTCTTTATGAATATATTTATATGGACAGAATTAAGAAAAAAATTGATTTCCCCATTCTCTCACTTCCCCTGTCTGTCTCCTCAAACCCCACAGTTAAAACTTGGGACTCTCTCCACTCCCAGAACACTTGTATATTGTTTGTTTGAGGTTCGTGCCGCAGTAACAGACACAGTATTTAATTGCACATACAGATGTTTGCTGGGTATATTCACTGTAAATTTTATTTAATCTGGTTTTTTTTGTTTGTTTGTTTTGGGGGCTTTGTGGGGGGAGGTTGGTTTTGTTTTTAAATACAAAAAAAACTGTCAGTGGACATCAGTCACTGTTTCTCTGTTTTGGCCCTGATGTGGGTGGGGGTTTAGAGGCTCTGGGTAGGTACAGCTCCACAGTTGCTGGAGGGATTTGTCTTGGGTTAAGATGGCTTCCCCCAAAATGTATGCATATGTTTTCCTGACAGTATTCCTTCTGTCTCATCCTCTCCCTTGTACACAGTATGATTGATAGCTGGTTCTTGGTTCTGTGGGACCTTGGTTTGGGGCTCTCCCAACTCTGCAGCTCATTAAGCACATCATTTCTCATCTCTGAACCTCTGTGACCACATCAGAGGTTCCTTCCAACCAGTTAATTCTGGTATTTAGGACTCTTGTGGCTGAGCTGTGGACAGGTAAGTGAAGTCCAGAACTGGGTTGAGATGCTGGCCTAATTCCTGTCTGTCTAAGCTTCTGAAAATCCTTCAGGGATGGAGAACTTGGATCTTCTATCCTAAAGTCAGAGGACTGAGTTCCACTTGGCACTAACAGAAATGGATGTTTCTTACAATACAAGCTGCATCAGTTGAACTTGCAGTACCAAGATGCTGTAGAATCCAGGCATGCTCAGCCTATGTGGCTGAAGAAAAGTGAAGCACAGAAGTCACCTGCCTGCACAACAGAGATCCTCTTCTTTTTTGGTGACTCCTAAGGCATCCTTGTTGTCTACAGCTTGTCAAATCAGGGTTGTAACAGAGCTATAGACTTACACCCTTGTAGTAGCTCTTTTCAATCTCACCTACCCCTTAAAGAGAGGAACAACCGGTGGAGGCAAAGCATGTGACCCTGGAAACTCTTGGGTGTAGGTACTTAATCTCTAGCCAAGCTCTTCCAACAGCTAGTCTAACCTAACCTCCAGTGTGGCCCTTTATTTCTCACAAATAGAAGGGATAAAATAGCACTATATTGCTACCTCTGCATCGCTCTTCTCCAAGGTCTCCTTCAGCCGCATCACAACCCAAAGTGGAAAAAGCTGTATCCCCATGAGATGAGAGAGCTAACAAGCTCCTTGGCCTTTCAGTTTATATAAGGGGACATCAGAGATGGCAGATGGAATTGGAAAGTCTACACTACAGGAAATGTAAGGGTTGGCCATCCTACCTTCAAGGTTTGCAGTTCTCTTGATGGGCATAGTGGTGCATACTGGTAAACTCAGCATTCTGAGAGGCTGAGACAGGAGGATCACAAATTCAAACCCAGCTGGGCAATTTTTTTAGCCCAGCTAATTAGCTAATTGGCTCAATTCAGCAATTGAGAACCTGTCTCAACCACAACAACAACAACAAAAGGTAAGGGGATATGTAGCTCAGTGCAGTGTCTGGGATCGATCCCCAGTACCCCAAAAGGGAGGGGAGATTGGCAGTTCATATGAGGAAGGGGTCATTGTGTACTGAAGGAAGATAAAACCTTTCTTCCCCTATCAACTAAACCATCTACCTGATGGTTAAGCCCTCTTTGGGCACCTCCGATGTAAATCCTAGCCTATCTTTTCTAGTAGCTACTACAGTTCCCTTCATCTCGTGGATAAGATATTAGAGGAACTGGGGGTAGGGGATGCGTAAGGAACAAAGCAGTACTACAGATTCTTCATTTCCTTACAGGATAGCACATACCCTCTGTCTCCCCACAGATGGGAAAGCAATCTAATGTGGCTTATAGGGCCGAAAGAATTCAAATGACCTCTTAGCAGATTTCAGCCCTTTCCAGCCTAAAGAATTGAGACTAGATCAGTGCTTGAAGACAGATATATAAACATGGGGCTACTAAAAAACTGGCCATAGAAGGTAAATCTGGTCCCTAAAGTAGGCCTAGGGAAAATAGAATCGGGGGTGCTGGGGTTTTAGTTCAGTGGCACCACACCTGCCTTGCAAGTGCAAGGTCCTGAGTTTGATCCCTGGTACCAGGAAAAAAAAATGGGGAAGTGTTTGAACTGTGGGGAAATGGCATGGACAAATCTGTTTATAGCTCATCTTGATTTTGTCTTTAGATATCTAAACTCCCCTCAAATGAGTATATAGCATGAGCAGAAACTGACCCTGACAATCCAGTGTTCCTCAGGGATGAACAATCAGAATCAAAGAAGAGTAGCTCTGGGGGATGGGAGGAGTTAGGGTCCAGCCCTGCCCTAGACCTCCAGTGTCCAATTTCTCCATGTCAGCTGTGCTGCTCAGCTGTCTGCTTTCCTCCAGCCCTGTCATTTCAGCTCTAACACCAAGTTGAGAGGCTAGGAGGCCTACAAATACCATTTGGGTAGCTGGTGTGAGTACAAAGGGTACTGGGGGGGGCTTAGCCCCCAAGGAAGAAGATCAATCTTCCCCTAATATCATCAAGGCCTCAGGCCCTCCTTCCTCCTCCTACAGACTGTGGACTGATTTAGGGAATCCCAAACGTAAGTGGCTTCTTCATCCTCTTTCTGTTTCTAGGACTGCACCTAGCTCTCCTAATCTGTAGTCTCTTCAGCTTCATTTCTTTCCTTGTCTGTGAGTAGTTTGGGTTTTAGAAGTGAAATTGTTTTTCTACTCCTGGATAAGCTAGGATTGAAGGTGGGGGTAGGGTCCAGGGAACAGAATGGTAGGAGAAGGAAAGGCTCATATTACTCTGAAAATAGCTGAGGCCTGAGGCAGGATGGGACAGAACTAGGCACAGGCCCCTGAGGCCCAGGAAAGTGAAGAGCAAAGTCTCAGTCTATCCCCCCATTCATGTTCTCGAGAACACAGGTAAACCTCTAGAAGAGGGGATGTGAGAAAGTTTGCATCATGTCCTTATTGCCCATGAGTGCCTAGAGGAAAGTCCCTCACCTGGGCATCCTGGAGGTCACTGTTAGGGCTGTAAAGTCTGGTGCTGCCCCTGGGGGTGGGAGGATGGGTATCAGTTTGAAGAACTGGTTTGGAAGTTGATCAGTCTGTTGGGCTATTTTCTGGACCTCCATGAAATCCATGGAATGGTAGGACTGTTCAAAAGCCCTACCTACCAAAGGATCTCACTTTAATCAAATTTCTTCCAAAGTCTTACCTTCAAGGATCACCATACTGCAAGGGACAGTCTAAGGGAGGGAAGATTGGTAGTCAGGAATTATATTTCACAGTGGAGTCCAATCTCTTACAGGATGACAGAGGTGCTGGAGTCTCCTAAGCCCTCCTTACCAGCAGAGACTCCGCAAAGTGGGGTGAGTCTGGTCCTCTTGACAACAGGATGTGGGGTGAGGGGACCTTAAGGCTTCTGAAGAGAAGTGCTTGAATTGATCCCACTTGTATATGCCTCATTTATTGTTTTAATGTTAGCCAGCACCTGCAGCCCCTAGTCCCCTAAACCTGGAGCACATTGCTTACTCCAGCTAGAGAAATGTGTTAGCTTTAGCTCCACCTACTTTAAGAAGGGTGCCAATCCTAATCCTGGGTTTCCCTCCCTCAGCTAAAGCGACTAAAGCAGTTGTTCAGGAAGGGGTCTCCAGATACAAAAGAGATGGAGCTTCCTTCAGAGCCCCAGGCCAATGGTGAGGCAGTGGGGGCTGGGGGTGGACCCATCTACTATATCTATGAGGAAGAAGAAGAGGAGGAGGAGGAAGAGGAGCCACCCCCAGAACCTCCTAAGCTTGTCAATGACAAGCCCCACAAATTCAAAGATCATTTCTTCAAGAAGCCAAAGTTCTGTGATGTCTGTGCCCGGATGATCGTGCGTGAGTCATGAAGGGAAGTGGAGAGTGTGATGTTGAAGGCAACAGGGTAGGGGAGATGGGTTTAGGAGAGGAATATTTGTAGCAGACAAATGGACAAGATTCAGCTTATGAAAATACTATCCGCTATTGAGAATGGACAGTCCTGGAAAAGAGAAGCCCAGAGCTAGCGTATCCACAGTAGAAAAGGGCACATCAGAACCTTACTCAATTATTTTCCCTCTCCCAAGTCAATAACAAATTTGGGCTCCGCTGTAAGAACTGCAAAACCAACATCCATGAACACTGTCAGTCCTATGTGGAGATGCAGAGATGCTTCGGCAAGATCGTGAGTAGTTTGTGGGAGCAAAAAAATAGAAGAGAGGGTATGTGTTGCAAGCTACCCCCTTGCTTGTCCCTCAGGTGATCCTGTACGTTTCCTTTCTTTCTCATCCAATATCTTACTCCAAGAATGGTTAGCTTACGCATGATGTAGGGTGCTGGGCCCTTCCATATGATCTCTAATGCCTCTGCCTATCCCATCCAACAGCCACCTGGTTTTCATCGGGCCTATAGCTCTCCACTCTACAGCAACCAGCAGTACGCTTGTGTCAAAGATCCCTGTAAGTGCCCGATAACAGGACCTGAGGGAGTGGGCCTGCCTCAGAGATGGTTTCACAGCGCCTCTAGCTTTGGAAGTCAAATTGTGAAATAGAAACCTTCTGTTTTCCATACCTCTTCTTCAGTCTGATACTTTTGTAGCCATTTTGAAGACAGTCAATATTCCCTTGTTTTATTGCTGAGGGAAATAAGACTCATCTGGGGCTACATGTAGCTAATGGGAAGTAGAGCCAAAACTGAAACCTTAATAAGCTAGCTTCAAAATCTGTTTTTCACATGCAAAACCATTTTTAAGCAAGAACAAGGATTCTAGACTGTCTTCATCCTTGTAACAGACACTTGACAGACTCAAGGCCAGACCAAGCCTGTGGACATCTGGGCAAATTCCTAACTTGGCAATCGTTAAAAGTATATTCATTGGGGAAAAAAATTAAGGGCCAGGGATTTGGCTCAGTGGTTTTGGCGCCTGCCTCACAAGCACAGGGGCCCAAGTTCGACCCCCAGTACCAAGAAAAAAAAATTTTTTTAAGTATTTTCATTGGGCTAGGGATTTAGCTCAGTGGTGCCACTGCCTGCTTCATAATTTGTTCAAACCAACATTTATATAGAGAAGCTCAACTGTGAGGATCGTGAGTGAAAAAATTCTGATAGTAGCTCCCCAGCTTGCACATGCAACTCAACAAAACAAAAACCAGCGATTGAGGGATAATTCTCCTAAGAACAGTAATTCCAAGCCTGTCCCCAGACCTTAAGAAACTTGCCAGGTTGTCTTCCAACACCATGTAATGCTCTGCCTGGCAGTTCTGGTAAATATCACAATGGTGTTTTTAAAGCTCTCTATATAGATTGGTAATGATAATATAGGTATTATCCAGCACACTCTTCCTAATCCTTCCCCGAACTACACCCACATGCTTCTTAGTATCTACTCAATCCACCTCTCCCTACTTGAGGTCTCTTTCCTCCAAGCCTTTCTGTGTAATATAAGTGATGTGGTTTTTTTCTCTTCCCATTCCACTAGCTGCTGCAAATCGAAATGACCCTGTGTTTGAAACCCTGCGCACTGGAGTGATCATGGCAAACAAGGAACGGAAGAAGGGACAGGCAGATAAGAAAAATGTGAGCATTATGCATCCTCACTGAGGCCCTCCCAGGAATTCTATTAAGGGGGAGGTTATTTCTCCTTTGGAAAACTGACAGAGGCTATGGATCCCCCCAAATTAGCACATAACAAATTCTGCATGCAGTTTTAGAGAGTTCTTTGGACTAGTTGCAGCTCACTGTGGATCTCAGGTTAAGAACAACTTCCCATGGGCTGGGGATTTAGCTCAGTGGTTCCACTGCCTGCTTTGTAAGTGCAAGGTCCAGAGTTCAATCACCGGTACCAAAAGAACAACTTCCCTCATTGGCCATGGATTTAGCTCAGTGGCACTGTGCCTGCCTCACAAGTGCAGCGTCCTGAGTTTGATCCCTGGTACCAGGGGGTAAAAAAAAAAAAAAGGAAGAAAAAGAACAACTTCCCTCAAATTCCCTTCTGAAATTGTCAAGTTAGCCACCACTAGGCCTCAGGCCCTTGGCATTGCTGGGTGAGGGAGGCAAGAGTTGTGTTTTGGTTTTGGAGAAGAAAATTTGACACAGTAATGAAAAAATAGTAATGAGAGAATTCTAGAGCCATATCAGGGTCCTTGAAGATCATCTAGTCTGACATAATCATCTTACAGATGAGGAACTGAGACACAGTGCCACTGGCCAAGAGCAACCTCATTTCGTTTTACAATAGAGTTACTAGTTTGGTAATGCATAGATTTGGGTTCAGTTCAACAAGGAATTGGTATCTTTCTGGACAACTAGATGGGAGGACTAAGATGATGATTAAGTTAAATCATTTCCTAAAATTAAGTGACTGGCAGTGCCAGTCTGATTTCTGGCACCTTGTAACTGGATTTATGATGCCTTAAAACAGGATTTGGTTCATGGTCCTCACCTATAGCCTTCTTTCTTACTGATACAGAAAAAGATAAAATGGTATATTCAGAGCTAGGCATAGTAGCTCACACTTGTAATCCTAGTACTCTGGGAGACTGAGGCAGGAAGATCACAAGTTCAAACCTAGGCTGGGTAATTTAGCAAAACTCTGCCAAAGAAAGTAAAGAGAGGGAGAGGGAGGGAGGGAGGGAGGGAGAGAGAAAAAGAGGGAGGGTGAGAATGCGGGGAGGGAGAGAGAGAGAGAGAAGGCTGGGGGTGTAGCTAACTGCCAAGGTCTGATCTGGGTTTTAAAAACACCATTGTGATATTTACCAGAACTCCTAGGCAGAGCATTATACGTTTTCTAGGGGTTGGGGACAGGCTTGGAATCACAAGTCTAAGAATTATCCCTAAACTACTGGTTTTTGTTTTGCTGAGTTGCAAGTGCAAGCTGGGGAGCTACCACCTCTGGGTTCAATATACTGTATATGTTTGTTAAATTTGTGGAAAGCTAAGAAGAAAAACTTTTACACTGATTATTCTAAAATCTTAACAAACTAGAAAAAAGAGCCAAAACTAATAATTTGAAATTTCAGACAGGCGTGGTGGCATATGCCTGTAATCCCAGCACTCGGGAGGCTGAGGCAGGAGGGTCCCTGTGAGTTCGAGACCAGCCTGAGCTACATAGTGAGTTCCAGCTCAGTCTCAACTATACAGTGAGAGCCTGTCTCAAAAAACCAAAAAATAAAATAAAATAAAAATAAAAAAACAGCAGGTGTGGGGCCACACATTTATAATCTCAGCTACTTTGGAAGCTGAAGTAGGAGGCTACACCCACACTGGACAACCAACCAAGACCCCTATCTGAAAATAAAATTCAACTAGGCATTGTGGTACATGCCTGTAATCCCAGTACTCAGGAGGCTGAGGCAGGAAGATTGCCGCCAAATCAAGGACCAGCCTGGACTACATAGTGAGTTCAAGCCCAGCTTGGACTACACAGCAAGACCTTGTCTCATAAAAACTAAAACAAAACAAAGCAAACACAACAAAGCCAGGGATTTAGCTCAGTGGTTCTGCTATCTGCCCTGCAAGTGCAAGGTCCTGAGTTTGATCCTGGTACCAAAAAAACCCCAAAACACACAACAAAAAAGTCTTATAGCCT